TCACCAATATAATGTCCATCACCATAACACAAGATTACGCACTCCTCTTGGTTGGGAGAAAGCCTGATTTCTTCCCATTTTGCATGGGTAGTTCTCATTTCGTCAAATTGACCAGTTTTTCACCCAGTACAGCAGAGCAGTTGACTGTGTACCCTCGCTTGAAACACATACACGTGCAGTATGGTCTTTGAGCTCCCCTATCGGCATATGTGTGTGTGCTCCATTTGTTGCAGAACTCTGCACATCAACCAGTTAAGTGGCACAATGCCTGAATCGTTTTACAATCTCTCAAGCCTTAGCACGCTGTGAGTGAAATTCCCCTTTGCTTCGCGGCCATTTTCTCTCGATACACTACATACATCACATGTGCATTCCAGCAACTATGGGCCCCAATCATTGCACGGAGCTCTGTACACGTTTGGATTTGAAGTAGACCTATGCACCGCATGCCCATTGAACTAGCCAAGTGCAGGCAAATTCTCTAAGAACTAGGAACGAGCACGGTCTGGGCCGAGGGCCTGTCGGACTCAAGGTAGTCCGGGCCGAAGCGAGCCGACACGGGCCAGCCAGCCCTGGCCCGGGCCGCCCGGCCTGTACCGGCCTGAACTGGCTCGAGCCGGAATCTCGTACCCATACTACTGAGTCGAGTGCCGTAACTCCGTAACTTGCACAAAGGCCCTAGCAGCACGTGCGCCTCTCCAGCCATTCATTTGTCTCCCCTAACCTAACAGCTCACATGGCCCTCTCTCAGTGCACGCACATCGGGCAGGGTGTGGCTGGACCCAGGCCCCCCCCTGCCCAACCCAAGGCAGCCCGAGCGCCCCCCATGGTGGCAAGGTCAAGGGCCGGCATTCTAACCAGGCCCGGAAGGAACCAACCCAGACCGGAAACGCCCAAGGCGGGCTGGCCCAGGCCGACCTGGAAGTTTTGGGGCTGGGCACTGGCCTGTCACGTGCTCATGCGCACCAAGAACCGGGTGTGGAGGAAAAGAGGAGTGGAGTGGGGGAATGTGTGGAAAGGAGTGGAGAGTGGTAGTTCAGTCGACTAAGAGCCATCCACCCACTTCCTGACGTTGAAATTGTTGCCGTACTCGTCCGCCTTGAGAGCGCTGTTGCCCGACATTGTGTCGGCATGAGGATGCCAAAGCGTTTTTATTTCTTTGTCATGTGAGCAAGGCTGGCGTTTATGTTGTTGCGTAAGGCTCGAGCATCTTTAAAAAATGTGCACTGTGCCCCGCCTTTGCCTCCTTGTGGGTATGCATGCTGCCTATTCATTCATCACATCATTCCTCATTGAAGCTCCTACCGAAACTTGCAAACATAATCTGGCCTTTACTCTCCTTCATTTACACCCTTATTTCAACAACATGCAGCAATCTTATGACAAACAATGTGACTGGTTCAATCTCTACAAAAATCGGCAACCTTGGAGCATTGCTATCCATGTGAGGCTCTTAACAAAAAAGGCTACACGAATTCTTTATAGAATCCACCGCCTGCCTACAACATCCAAACAACTCAATTACCTCGAGATCAGAAACACATGAGACTCTAACACTTGCTTGTTTGATGCTCCTCTTGTGGGAACATTAGCAAGGGCCAAGCCAGTCCACCTTTTTCATCCGAGTCTAGCCAACCCTAGCAAGGGCCGATTAGGCATGAGCAGAGGTCAAACTCGAACGCGTTTGAACATCTCAATTCAGAACGGCAAGGCGGTGATGGAAGGGCTTGAGTGATCGCGGGGGAGGAGGAAGAGTGATGAGTGGGGGAGGACGTGATATACTGAGGGAGACATTGGTCAGCAACAAGTAGGTGGCAGTGGTGGCACCGTGGTGTATGGATGGGATGGGAGGGTATAGGTGTTTGCGGAGCTGGGCAGAAACTTGGTGAGTTTGAACTTCAGTGTGAGAGTTAGCAAACTTGCAATAGTTTCAATGGGCTGTGTATCCCAGCCCAAGTTTCCCGATCTCATGCTAGTCAAGGGGTTTGTGGCAGATAGTCGGAGAGCATGTGTTCGTTCAACGATAGTGCCCGGGAGGAAGGCTTGAATGGTTATATAGCTGGCCGCACTTCAGTTTGCCTCAAGAGAACTAGACAGAAGTACTCCCCTCTGAATAAATTCATCGAGCTAGTTAACATTAGGCATGTGAAAGGTTGGAGGCATGCAGGAAGCACACCAAGAAAGCAAGTGTTGCCCACTGTCACATTTCCTATCTAATGCCGTATGTAAAGCAACCCTTACTTGTCTCACGACATGTGCGCCTTTTGCTGCTCTCTTATCATCATCTTTCCATTTTCAGAAACCTTGCCTATAACAGCTTCACAGGCACCATTCCTGACTCCATTGGCCAGCTCACAAATATACAAAGCTTGTGAGTGCGTTCCTTCCTGTGAAAGTAGTTATTGTATATTAAGAGAACACGGAGAACAGATGTTTAACCATAATGAACAAGCAAAAAAGAATCAAGCACCGTTTGCGTGACATGTCAAAATTGCCCAATTTCTACGTGTAACTTTGGAGATCCTGTACGACCCTTAAGAACGCTCACTATCGCACTGAACCCTTTACAATCAATGGAGTCCAGCCTAGACAGGAGCTACTCCGGACGGGTCGGGCTGGGTCTTGGGCCGGAGTGGGTCGCTATTCCTTTGCAGCCAACCCAGGTGGGTCAGGTCATCAGCGAGCTTATAGAATGGGTTGTTCCGACCCGTGACTTGATTTTGGAAATTGTATGAAAGTATTGACGACCCATCGGGGACGGGTCGATTCTGGTCTTTTTGTCCGAACGGGCCGGGCCGTCCTGACCCGACACTTTTCCTAGCGCAAGCCTTCCTCGTCAACGTGAGGGTCGATGGCTTTTGATCCCTTCTTTCGTGTTTGTAAATTGTGTTAAGTAGTGCTATTGTAGAACGTGTTTGCGGCAACTCCCTGTTCTGTTCTTTGCTTTTGGAGCACTCGCTAGAACTGATTTCGATTATTTTTCCTCTTCTTTCCTCGGTTGCTGTCTCTCGTTGTGAGTATTGTTATTGGCAAAAGTCTAGATAATAGTCACAACATTATGTTCCGTACATGATCTTTTATACAGCCTTCAAAGACTGTCACAAACTTGCTGCACCCTAGTTTGTATGTCCCAGCAAGCGGAGTCCAGCTCAGACTGGGTCACTGGCCTGAGCATGGATTGCCAACGAGGCTGACCATCTCAGACCAACCCAGGCCAGACCTGGCTGCCTGTTAGGGGTGTTGACCCACCACTCACAAGCAGGATACATGGCAATAGACATGAGCACGATTTAAATCAACCTTGGCTCTGCCAGAGTCGGATTTGGCTGGCTGATTGGAATGCACTGGCTTTCAGGAGTTGGAAACTGAGGGTCAAACCTTCATAGTTTGGTTGGGTGTGGTTCAGCCGTGTGCCACTTCATAGTTGGGGGTGCCTCATCCACAACCCAAACACATAGGAGTCTCACCCAACTGATCCCATCCAGCCATCTTAAGGTTATTGTGTCTACTGGCGTCTACCAATACAGACTAAGGCAGAACAAAGGAGAACGCATGCGTACCTGAGTGCATGTTCTGCCATGAGCGATGGGCTCGATGTGTCTTTCTTAGGCATCTGAAAACACCTTCTGTCTTTGGCCGCTACTCCTCTTTTGGCATCTCCTTGTTATGAATTACAGAACACTGTGGGGAAACAAAATCAGTGGCTCGATACCGTCAACAATAGGCAACCTTCTGAGTTTGACTAAACTGTAAGTTAACTGGCAGTCTGCAAGAATCTTTAATTGCTGCAATTTGTATGTCTGTGTGCGTGCGTGCGTGCATTTTGAGTGTTTCTTTATAGATTGATTCCTCTGTTGTAGTCATAAGAGCAATGCTCCACATTCACTGGTACATCTGTCTCAGGATTTTATTATTACTATTATTATTATTATTATTATTATTATTATTATTATTATTATTATTATTATTATTATTATTATTATTATTTACTTCCTGCACTTCCGTGACTTCTTCCATGAGTCTCCTTGCTACTGTCCTCTAATCAGGTACATTGGGTTGAACAGCCTGAATGGCAGCATCCCAACGTCCATTGGCAACCTCTTGCAGCTCACAGCCTTGTAAGCACGCACATTCATTGTGCCCTGAGCTGTATGCACAACTTCTTGAAGCTGATAACCCTCTAACCAACCAGGGTTGTAGCACAGCTGGAAAACTGCGCTCGAACAGCAGTATGAGCACTAATGTGCCTTACGCTGTTTGCCTAAGAGTGCCATCTGAGCCACATCCATACTGGAGGCATTATGCTCACCAGTGCTTCACCTCTATCTTTTCTAAACAATTTTGGCTCTGCGTATGTACCACTTTTCTGGCTCCATGTATGCTTAACACCCTTTGCTTCACACATGACAACACTCTCTACACATGAACAGCACTCTCTACACATGAACAACATTCCCATGCCTCTACGCATTGTCAACACTGTTATGGCATTACGTGTGCTCAACAATGCTGTGCATGCAGTGCGGCTCTGGGAACCAATCTGACAGGACAGCTCCCTCCAACTCTGGGCAAACCTCCCAATCTCGTATTGTAAAACACATTATTGTTCTTTCACAAATGTCACAAACCAAGCGTACAGAGCCCATCTGGAGGTGGTTCTACAGAGCATTATGCATGGAAATCAATCTTCCAAAGACCCTCATTCACCCTTATGCATCGATATTTTGCTCGTGTCAAGATCGAGTCTTTTTTTCTTACAGGTTTTTTTTATAATTTCAAAGATGTTTAAAGAGGTATTGATCTTTTCTTTCGCTGCAGGAATCTGAATGGAACCACGGTGACATGCCCCCTTGACAGCACGCCATGTGTGGTTCAGCAGTCTACTCAAAGTGGCTTTTGCCGAACGTGCACCTCCTTCTGCACCACTTGCATCAAGTCACCACCACGTATGATTTCATTGCTTTTTATTTGTTGGTTTATGTATTTCATATTTTTATTTGTCATTCACTGCACATGTCCACCATTACCCTACCTGCGTCTTGTTGTCATGTTGGTTTTCCTGAGACGGCTCGTGGGCATGCGCTATGCTGGCGCACCTTTAGCAAATATGCGCTATGTTAGCACACCTTTAGTTCCATTTCAATATATGCCACATCTTTGGCGTACTTCCCCCTCAATGTTAGTGCAACCTCGTTCAAATACATACATACATCGTGGATGAAGTGCTTTGGGGAGAGCTTTCAACAAACATTGTGATTATTTCTGCGAAAACGCGTAGGAAAGTCAAATTTGCCAGACCTGTTACCAGGGCCATTGGTTCTAACCCATGGTATTTCCAACTCAACTTACTCATGCACTACCTACCGCCCCCTTCTCCCCACCTACAGCCCCCCCATCCTCGCCTCCAGCATCCCCATCCCCACCTCCAGCACCTCCCACAGCGGCCCCCTCCTCCTCCTCCTCCTCCGCAGCACCCTCCACAACAGGCCCCTCCTCCACAGGACCCTTCACAACATCCCCATCGTCCTCCTCCTCAGCAACCCCCCCCTCGCCCGAAGCCTCTCCCTCCCAGTCCGGAGGCGGTCTCTCTGTGGGAGCCATTGCCGGCATTGCTGTGGCTGCTGTGATGCTGCTGATCATTGGCGTGCTGCTGTGGTGGTGGTGGAGAGGTCGCAAGAATTGGGCAGCACGTGCAGCAAGTACAGTATCCTTAAGCCTTATCTTAAACCCTAAACTTCAAACCCAAAACCTTACATTCAATCGGAAGAAATAGGAAAACGATATCCCTTCTTTCAAACTTCTGTTGCTTCTCCTTCCACCCTAAGTGACGGAAGACGCGTCTAGCGTCTTAGACGGTTGCGTCTAGACGCAGCGTCTAAGACGCTAGACGCATTTCCGGCTAGGTTAGACGCATATTAGACGGAAACCCGGGCAGGCCTAAAAAAAGGTTCGGGCAGCCTAAAAAAACTTCCGAGGGCCATGGGGAGGGTGGGGGACATGCAAATATGACCCATTTGGGTCAAATTTCTGTTGTACCAAAACTTTTCCCTCATATTTTGAGTTCACAACAATCCTCATTTCTCATCATGCATAGTTAGGGGACCACTTCTCTCTAGCAGTAGCCAACACGAAGTACATAGCTACTACTACATCCCTGCTATCACTAGGCCTCCTCCAACCTCTCCTCCTACTCCTCCTCCTCCGCCTCGTCCTCCTCCTCCGCCTCGTCCTCCTCCTCCTCCTGCCCCTCCCACTCATCGATGCACACGTCGTCCTCATCCGCCTCCACCTCCCCATCCTCCTCCAATTTGTACCCCTCGGGGAGGGGAGGGGGGGTAATGTTCCCCTCCACCACCCCCCCCTTCCTTCCCACCACACTAGGCCCTGCGTCATCCGCACCCTTGTGGACATCGCGCACAACATTCCAGTTGTGCGCGATGTACACAAGGTCGCGGACCTTCTCCGACCCGAGCCGGTTCCTGCGCGCCGTATGCACTCCATCCCAAGTAGACCAGTTACGCTCGCACGGGGAAGCGGAAACGTCTGGGAAAGCGTGCGGCGCGCAAGACGCGCCAGGTCAAGGTACTCCCATCCATTGTACTGCCACCACAGCATCACGTTCCCCTTCCCCAGCTGAATCTCCTTACGCCCCTTGATCGCGGTATCAGAGCCGAACTTCCCATCGCCGTTGATGTAGGCCGTCACCGCCTCGTGCAGCGGCCGCACCGGCCCCTTCTTGCCGCGGGCCTTCCCCCAGTACGTGTCTACGAAGACCTGCTGGCGCTCCAGCCACTCCTGCATGACCTTGGTGCACTCCAGGTCCTGCAGAAAGATCCCCTCCTCCTGGTTGGCCGGGTTCAAGATCCGGTCTGCCACGTGGAGGGGGCATGCCAGGCTCTCGTCCCAACGCCTCCTCAAATGCTCCCTCACCTTCTCCTTATCCACCCTGCTCAGCTTGCACTCCCTCCCATCCAGCAGCTTATCCAACTCCTCTGTCAGCTGCAGCATGATGTCGTAAAGCTGACCCATCATCCCCTTCGCCGCTGAATCCGTCCTCCGCATCACGATGTAGAACACCTCCATCAGCTGCACGAAGAAGTCCACCTTCTTCCACCACGCCGAGTCGCTCACCCACCCCTCGAAATCCGATCCCGTCAGCGTGTCCCCCCCCTTCTCCGCCCAGTCCTTGTGCGCCACCATCGCCTGCAGCTGGGGGCGAATGTCGCGCAGACGAGACACTGCGATGTACTGCGTTCCAAAGCGCGTGCCTGCCGGGCGCAGGGCCCCGCAGCGATTTCTTCTCGCCGTCCACTGGTGACCGCACACGAAGTTGATGATATTGTCGGCCTGAGTCACGATCACCTGCGCCCAGTCCATCTTGCCGATGTCCTCCATCAGCAGATCCATCACGTGCGTGGCGCAGGGAACGAGGTCGAGATGCGGCCACTCCTTCTGCAGCAGCCTGCCAGCAGCTTTGTAGTTGCTGCCGCCGTCCGTGCACAGCGCGACGACGTGCTCGGCCCCGATGCGCTCGATGATCGGCCGCACGACGCCAGCGATGAACGTGCCACTCTTCGTCGCAGCCTTGCAGTCAACCGCCTCAACGAAGACAGCTCCAGTGTCGTTGATGCGTATGACGTTCATCTGCGCGCGGCCGCTCTTGTCCTGCATCATGTCGCTGGAGATCGTCACGCCCGTCTCCCTCCACGACTTCGTAACGGGCGACAACGCCTTCTCGATCCGCTGCTTGCAGTCTTGCAGGCCGGCGCCTCCGACGTAGTGCCGCTTGGGGGGAACATATCCCTGGCCGGCGGCGGCGACGGGGCGCAACATGTTGAGGAAGAGCGGGTGCTCGCACTGGCGCTCCGATGTGCGCGTCCCCGCGAGGTAGAGGACAATCGATTCGTCGGCCGCCTTCTTTGCCGCCACGCCACCCTCGCCAGAGAATTCGTCCATGCGCCCGCGCTTCTTCGCCTTCTCTCCCACCGCGCTCTTGCTGCTCACCGATGCGAGCGCCGCATCCGTCGCCTTCGCCTTTTGGTTGCGTGCCCGAACCTTCGCTTCGAACATCTCGCGAATCTCCTTCGAAACCTCCTTCGGCACATCCTTGCAAACGACTCCCGCCTCGCGTCGGCGGTGAGGATCGTGCCACTCGGCTAGGTGCTCGGGGCAACGGCTACTACTCCAAGAAAACTTCTTGCCGCAAAACTCACACTCCACTTGGTCGCCCTTTTTCTTTGGATCCTGAAAATAGTAGTAATGCTTGTAGATCGGGTGTTGGTGATACTTTTTCTTCTTCGCAACTCCTTCCATTTCCTTGGAAACACGAGCGGAAGAACCCTCCCCCACGGCATCGTCATGCGAGGAGGCGGAACTAGACGACGAACTAGGGAAGTAGCTAAACCCTAAAGGGTTTTTGAAAGAGAATTTGATAGAAGTGAAAGATGGGAAGCACAAATGGGGGATTTGTGCTTCCCAAGCTCTTGGTGGTTTGCCATCAAGGTTGGGTTTTCTAGATGCTATGCGGTTGAGAGAGGTGTGGGTTCAATTTTGGTTGAAGGAAATTCAGTTTTGCATGAGGGGCCTGTTTCTTAGGTCGAAATGGGTGGGAGGGGGTGCAAATGTCGCGAAATTGAATTTCGCATCGAAATCGCGAAATTCAACCCCTCACCCCTTGTTGCTTTGCCCCACTGTCACAGGCCGGGCTCGCAGCATGTCGGGCGCTCAATGTGCAGAGTACTCCCTAGACGAAGTCCTCAAAGCCACCAACAACTGGTCCTCTGCCAACCAGCTTGGCTCGGGTGCCTTTGGTGACGTGTACAAGGGCGTGTGTCCACACGATGGCACCACTCTGTGGGCCGTCAAGCGAGCCAAACTGATTGATGTGGATTTCCAGAAAGAGGTGAACTGAGTTGTCATTATGGCTTGACTATTTATGTTGAATAGTCCTACGCCGTTCCAGTTTGGCTATGTTTCTTGACGTTCTACCATGGCATAGCCCTGCCTGCCATATGAAACCATTCCATTTGATTCCTGCCTTTTTATATCGCAGGTGCAACAAATGGCCGACAAGAACCATCCCAACATCGTGCGGCTGCTTGGGTTTGCTATTGGAGGGGACATGAGGACACGGCCAGAGCAAATCTTGATCTACGAGTTTGTTTCCAACGGTGACCTTGACCAGTATCTTAAGAAGGGTGCGTTCCACATCTTCAAGAACCCGGATTCACCTTTCTCCCCAAAAAATAAATATACAATGGCAAGGCGTTTCTTGTGTCACTCATTCATTGTGTCACTCATGCTGAGTTACTCAGGTTGCATCCCTCATGTTGCATCCCTCATGTTGCTCTCATTTTGCATCTCTCACGTTCTGTCATTCTCATGTCCGTCACTCTCACGTTCCGTCACTCTCACGTTCTGCCACTCCCTCGCTCTGTGCATGTGTGCAGAGGCGTCCTTCTCTCTCAACTTCCAGCAGCAGCTGGACATCCTCATTAGTGCGGCACGTGGCTTTGAGTACCTCCACAGCTTTGGCCTTGTGCATCGCGACATCAAACCTGCCAACATCCTTCTCGGGGCAAACATGCAGGCAAGCAAGGACCCTTCTTTATGCAACCCAAATAATAAGAAAAGCAAGGTGCAAAGTGCTTTCTCACAAGCAGAGCGAGTAACATAGTGTAAGAAAACAAGGACCTTTCATAAAGTGAGTGTACGGAGTGGCATGAACCGGACCCAAGCGGGTTTGGTCGAACGGTTTCAAACCCTATTCTTATAACTGAACCGAACATGTTTTGTAAAAAAAGGAACATTTGGTTCGACAGTCGTCAAACTTAATTTCGGTTCATTGCTCAATCCTAAGAGAGGCTGCAACGAGTTGTGAAGAGCAGTAGCAATAGGAAATGTATGATCCATTTTTCTGGCAATACGCTGCAAACTGTGATGTCAAATGTCCTTGTTCGTCCTTGTCTGATGGAAGCATGCACCCCCACAACCCCTAAGCCACTCTACCTAAGACTTCAGGAGCGTTTGAGCAAAGAATGCCATCGAGTTCATTACACCGAACTTGTTCATTTTAGAGCTTGTTCAGTTTTACAAAAAAAAATAGACTGTATGACAGATTTGCTTGATGATATCGCATTTTTTTTCTTTGATCTTGTGTCTTCAGCAGTCCTAAGATGAATGCAGTATGCCCTTATTGATTCTGTGTATCTTCAGCAACAATCAACTGAACACCAGACCAAGTGCTTGCCGATGTTGTGTATCTTCAGCAGTAATCAGAAGAATGCAATAACCAAGGCCTTGTCCATCCTTTCCTTCATCATGCTTGCCGGCCATCCCCGTTTTTTACTGTACCATCCGACAGGCCAAGATTGCTGACTTTGGGCTGTTGAAGGCGGGCGAGGGCACCACCGTCGGCACGACTCGGGTGATGGGAACACCGGGCTATGTGGATCCCATCTACTCACGCACGTCCAAGGCCACCACTGCCACCGATGTGTACAGGTGAGCTATGTTGGTCATCAGGTGATTTACATCTATGAATAATGACTTAGATTCCAACCTCTATGACCCATGTGATGGGGCAGCCAACTGTAGCATGTTGGCCATCCACCTCACATGGTTTCGTTGGCTCTCATCCCTAATTGGCTAGGCGTTCTTGTCTAGGCTGTTACGCTTGATCTTTTGCTCTAAACTTCTCGTGTATAATTTTGTGCTCTTTTGAGCTAGTGTACGGTGTTTTATTCGTTCTATCTCTCATAGGAGTGTTAGCTTCTTTCATAGAGCTGGGCACCGAAGACTTGCTGGTATGTAGGGATGAGCAAGGGGCGAACACGAACGTGTTCACGTTCGCCCATGCACGAACAACCCTGTTCGGCGAACCGAACACTGTTCGGTTCGGCGAACACCTTAAGCAAAAACAGGTGTTCGCCGTTCGCCTATGAAGGTGTGTTCGGGCGAACCTCGAACACGTTCGTGTTCGTCTAGGGGCAAATTGCAGCAGCGGCCCGAACACGAACGTGTTCGGGCGAACATCGAACACTGTTCGGCGAACACTTTAAGGCGAACCGAACAGGTGTTCGTTTTTTTGCTCATCCCTACTGGTATGGGCCAATCATGCTGGCCCAGGTCCCAACCAACCCTCCGTTGTTAAAACAATGTACTACTCCCCACATTAAATCTTAATTGACCATTCCCCTTACCTGTCATCCCAGTGAGATGCTCCCAGTTTTGGATATTATCAAATTTAAAATCACTCTGTTTAAAACAAACTCCATTTCCTCTTTCTGCAGCAATCACCATTGTGGCGTCCTTGTGTGACCACCGTATGTGATTCTCTCAATAACTCTGAGTCACCTTTCTGCTGCTTCGGTGTGCTTATGCTTGTGCTCCTAACTGCGGCTTACTATATACAAAAGATGGGTTGTCAATCTCTTCCCCTCTGTGTGTGCAGCTTCGGTGTGCTCATGCTTGTGGTGCTCACTGGCCGCAGCCCCCGGTCTGCAGATGGCGGGAAGAAAGGTCACATTCTACGATGGGTGAGAGTGCGCTTTTGTACCATGCATGTTAGATGGGGTGCGTCTAGATCATACCCTTTTTGCATGTCAAATGGTCCTGCGTTTGGTAACTGTTTCTACTCTGAATCCAGCTCACGAGGAGAGCAAGCTGCTGTGTATGCAGCACATGAATCAAATCAAAAGTCACTATGTTGACTACATTGTCAGGCGCACTCTTGAGGCACCTTAAAAATCACTACATAGTCAGTGCACTCTGCAGATGGTGGGAGGAAAGAGGCTGCTCTCCTCCTTCATAGCCCCACATGGCCCCATGGTTGGCGCACTTTGATACGCGGCCCACTTTGTCACTGTCACTTATCATCGCTTCAGTCTCTCGCCTTCAACCCTCCTCAACCACCTCGGCATGCTTCTTGCACTCTTATCCTCGCCCTCAACTCTCATAGCCGTCCCACAGGTGAACCAATGCATTCCGCCTGACGCCCCAGCCCGCCGCGGCCTCTAACCCTCCCCACGTTGTTACATACGTCAGATTGAGGCGTGCCTTCCTTCCGACACCCAGGCCTGTGTCATGGACCTGAGCATGTGTCCTCGGGGCCACTTTCAGTGTGTCTCGTGCTGCCCATGTGATTCCTGTTCCTGTCCCACCTTGCTTAATCGCCAGGCGAAAAGAGTGCATTTCCTCCAACAACCCTGCCCCCTCAAGGGTCTCAGCATGGACGTCTCGGTTGATGCTGTGCTACACGTGGTACATCCTTTTGTTGTCCCACAGGCCAACTTGAATGTTTTTGCTCCCTCTTGTTCTTCAACACTCCAGGTGGGGGACTGCATTTCCTCCAACAACCTCAAGGATGTGAGCATGGACGCCCCGGATGATGCTGTGCTGCGCCTGGCCCAGCTGGCACTCTCCTGCACCGTTGAGCGCACTGCAAGCCGGCCAAGCATGGCCACCATTGCCAACGAGCTGCAGGGAATCAGGCACGAGGTGGTGGGGAAGGAGGAGCTGAGTGCAGCGATCAAGGTGGATGTGCAAGCACAGGAGATGCGAAGTGGGACGTCGTTCCCGAATGACTTGGCTTCAGAGCTGCAAGCTATTAGGAGCATGGAGGAAGAGTGCAATGGGGAGCAATCAGGTAGCATCCGAAGCAGCAGCTGAAGCAGCAGCCAAACCAGCAGTCAAACCTCATGTCATCACCATGCATAAGCAAATCTCATGTAATCACCACTGCATCTCTACGATTCATAGAATTACTAGCGCGAAGACTTTTAAAGGCTCCCATTCAAGAAAATGTCGTGGTTATCCTTTCAACCAGTTCCGATTGAATCCCGAGTGGGCAAGGACAAGAGTGGTGATTGCTAACCTGGTCAGGAGCAGAGAACCAATTGCGAGTGCAAAAGACTTGTACAGTGTTCTGGTGACTAATACCTAGCATGTTTACTTTTCTCTGCAAATTGCAGCTCACCACATGCCAAACTTCTTTAACTGTGGAAAAAAACACCCTTTGAAAATTGCCCTGAAATGGCCTGTACCAGATTTTTATGTTTCGGGGAATGGGCACAAAACCATGGTGACTTGTGCCTGGCTTCATGCCTGCGGACAAGGAGATTACGGTACTGCTGCTCTAGATACCATATCAGGGTTGGAAAACTAGGAGATCCGGTAGTGTTCAGAGGGTTATGAGAACGAAGAGAGGTTTCTTAGAAGCTAGGCATGAATGGAGTTGACTATCGAGAGAATTGGTACAAGGAGAAAACCCTGTGGGGTTATACCCAGTATCTACCCCACTACAGCCTACCCACAAATATAACATATGCATATGTTTGACACACCCCCATAGGCAAAGTGGGGGAGAGCAAGAGGTCACAAGACCAGTCAAGAAAAGCAAAGTAAGCTCAGGGTGGATCACAACGTCACCACACACACTGAGCACAAGCAAAAGGCCACAAGGCCAGTTCACATCCAGAGGTATATATGCAACAAGAACATCACAGTGATCTCTACCTAGCAAGAGCAAGCATGCAAGTATATATATATAGATCACAGTACAAGCAAAGTCTACAGAAAGTGTGGAAACGTAGGCACAAGGCCCAACAAAGTACAAAAGCGCTGATGATCACCAGACGGAAGTGCCTTGGTGAATATATCAGCAGTGTTGGCCTGAGTGGCCACGTGAGCAAGGCGAAGCTGACCCCGCTGCTGCAACTCTCGAGCCAGGAAGTAACGCAGAGCGATGTGCTCCGTTCTGTGCTCCAGTCTATGCTCTTGACACAATGCAATGGCTGCCTTGTTGTCGACGTACAGAACTGGAGGAGAACGAGGCCTCTCTCCCAAGTCGGTCAGCAAGTAGGTGAGCCAGCGTAACTCCTGTGCAGCCATGGCTGTGGCGTAGATCTCAGCCTCACAACTGATGCCGAGAACAGAAGACGAGCGCGTAGACCGCCAAGAAACAGAGCTAGAGCCAAGACTGAAGGTGTAACCCTGTGACGACCGCTGCGTAGCCTGGTCGTCAACCCAAGAAGCGTCCGAGTGACCAATTAAAACGTCGCCCCGTCCTCCAAGCACAAACCCCATGCCCAATGTACTGCACAAGTAGCGCAGTACCCTCTTAGCAGCATCCATGTGCACCTTTCGGTTCCGACCAGGGGCCACGTAGCGAGCCAGAAGGCCAAGAGGGTACGTGCAGCAACACCCGAAGAGTGGTCATCTTCGGGGTGGGGGAGAAGGTCTGGAAGAAGTCAACTCCCTCTCGCTGACTGAAGCCACGAGCAACGTAACGAGCCTTGAAGACAGGCGGAGAACCTGGCGGCCGCTTCACCCTGAAAATCCACATGCCGTCGACGATGTTCGCCCCGGGAGGGGGAACCTCATCGACGTAGGTGCCTGTGCACTTCCAGGATGCCATCTCTGCGTCCATGGCTGTCTGCCACTGAGAAGAGTACTCACTCGCGATCGCCTCAGCGTAAGAGCGCGGGGTCGGGATGTCTGGTGCATCCGGGTCTCCCTCAGGGGCAAGCAGCATGGCCACGAGATGAGGCGCAGCGGCCGCAAGACACTCAAGGTCCTCGTGCCTGTCCTCAAGGACGTCCGTGCTAGGAGCACACTCACCCCCGATGGACGGAAGACAGACAGACTCAGACTCAGCAACAAGACTAGCAGCGTAGACTAGACGACAGTGAGCAGCAAAGTCGACAAGCTCAGCGACTAGGGCAGACGCAGCAGTGGACTCAAACGACGGGTCAGTGACCACAGTGACTAACAGACGCGTGACAGTAGGGTGCTCAGTACGAAACTGGTCGGACTCAGGGCCCGCAACGTCAGGCAGAGAGGACGCAGGGGGAGAAGGCAGAGGAACACGCTGCGGAGGAGAGGAAGGACGACGGACTACAAGGTGGGTGCCGGGGACAGCCGGCTGACGCGGACGAGGAACACGACGACCGGAACGACCAGGACGGACAGGCGAGACAGGACGCGACGCAGGCTCACGACGCTCAGCAAGGCCCCCTGTCTGCTCAGTGTAAGGAGAAGGAGCAGGCAGCGGCGAGCCAGGCTGTAACGGAAGACCAGTAGACGAAGGGAGACTGAGAACCTGGCGAAGTGCAGAGTCAGGCGGTGGCTGAGACGACGGAGACGGCGGAGCGAAGAACAGGCGCGGCTGTGCAGTGCCACCAGCACCAGCAGCTCCAGCACCTCCAGTAGCACCAGTACCCTCAGCAGCTCTAGCACCTCCAGCAGCTCCAGAACCCTCAGCAGCTTCAGCACCTCCAGCAGCTCCAGTACCCTCAGCAGCTCCAGCACCTCCAGCAGCTCCAGAACCCTCAGCGCCAGCTCCTCCAGGACCAGCTCCACCAGGTGCAGCACCCCTAGAACCGGCACCTCCAGGCCCAGGGTCTCCAGCCGTAGCACCCTCAGACACAGTACCTCCAGCCCCAGCAGCTCCAGTACCTCCAGTACGAGCACCTCCGAGACCAGCGACTCCAGCACCTCCAGTAGACAAAGGACCAGCACCACTCCCAGCTCCAGTGACGTCAGCAGAAGTACCTCCAGCAGCAGAGCCCCGAGCTCCAGAAGCGCGACCCTGACGGCGACCGTACCAGTCGTGCAGCTGCTGTGAGGTGAGAGGCACACGCGGACGAAGGCGGCTACTCCAAGGAGACCGCGCAGCAGCAGACTCAGAACCCTCAGGCGTCGCACCCCCAGACTCAGTACCCCTAGGCTCCTCACGCCCGGGCTCAGCACCTCCAGACACAGCACCCCCAGGCTCAGGACCTCCAGGCTCCTCACGTGCAGGCTCAGCACCTCCAGGCTCCTCACGCTCAGGCTCAGTGCCCCCACACTCCGCACCCCCCGGCTCAGTACCTCCTGGGTCCTCACACGCAGGCTCCGCACCCCCAGGCTCAGCACCCCCAAGCTCCGCACCCCCAGGCTCAGCACCCCCAAGCTCCGCACCCCCAGGCCCAGCACCCCCAAAGACAGCACCACCCCCAGCAGGACCTGAGTCACCAGTGACCTCAACAGGCGCAGGCACGGGAGGGTCTACCTGAGAAACACCTGAAGGAGCAGGACCTGGCGCAGGGAGGGGGTCTACCTGGGGAGGACCTGGGGCGAGAAAGAGCGGCGGGGGGGGGGGCGAGGGGCAGTGCGGTAGGGAAAGAGACGGTAAAAGGGGACGGACTCGTCAAATGTGACGTCCTGAGACGGAAAGACACGGCGCGAGGCGGGGTCGTAAAACTGCCAGCCAGGCGCGTCAGGGACAAAGCCAAGGAAAACGCAGGAAATGGCGCGAGCGGAGAGCTTGTCCGTGGTGGTATCGCGGACAAAGGCACGAGCACCCCAGACCCGGAAACGCGACGCATCGCCAACCTTCCCGGGGTCATACCTGGTATAGTGCCATAGGCGCTATACCTGGGGCTATACCGGGGTCAGGCAGCACACACAAGTAGCAGTCACCCTCAGCACTAACAGTCAATGCATACATGGCTGCAAGAATAGCCTCATAGTCAAGATCAAAGATAGGTACATCACGCCTAAGCAGGTCTGCCCAGTTGGGGAACTCAGTAGCATCAGGAAACTTGACGCGCCAGGCGTCGCTAAGCCGAGCGAAGCAGCGGTACTCAGTGTGAAACCCTGTGCACTGGCGACCAGCGCGGGGACCTGCGCGAATGATATAGGGGCAGCGACCAGGACCCCCAGACGCCCCACGCCCGGCATACCAGTCAAGAAGCTGCTGGGAAGTGGGGGTCTGGCGCTGACGCTGCTGCGGCTGCTGCTGCTGCTGCTGCTGCTGCTGCTGCTGCTGCTATCCCTGGCCACCACCGTCCCCACCCAAGTCCCCACCACCGCCGCCACCACCACTCCCCCCTCCGCCACCACCGCCGCTGCCACCGCCGCTGCTCCCGGCACCACCACCGCCCCCACCACTACCTCCACCCCCACGACCACCGCCACCACCTCCACCGCCCCCGCCACCTCCACCACCGCCCCCTCCACCGCCACGTCCGCCACCCCTGCCACCCTTGCCTCCCTTGAAGCCGCTGCGCTTCCCACTCGGAGCGGAAGCAGCTGCGACCTTCTCAGCACCAAGGAGGTCGACAGCAGCAGCTGCGGAGGCGTAGGAGGGGGTAAGAGGGGAGGGGGAGCACCCCTCAAAGAGGGGAGAGCGGGGAGTACCACGAGCAGCACCTACAGCTAGAATGTTCTTCTCGGCTGCTAGGAGGTGCTTCTCGAGGTCGTCGACAGTGAGAGAATGGGGGTCAAGGGCGAGGAAGTGGTCCCTGACTGAGCGAAGAGTGTCAGGGAGGCGGGTGATGAGGAAGTAGAGAGTAAAGTACATCGGGGGGTGGTTCTCTGCGAGGAACTCGGCTGGAAGGGCGGCACAAAGGCGAGTGTCACTAGCGCGTAGGTGAGAGATGAGGTCCTCAGCGGTGGTAAACGAGGACAGGTCGGGGAACAGGTAAGGTAGCATAAGTCGACCGAGGGCTGCAGTGGCCGGGGAAGAGTAGCGGGCAACTACAGCGTCGTACAGCGCCTTGGCAGTCTTGTGCTGGCTAAAATGCGCGCGCTCTGTGATCGGAAGATGGTTGCGAATAGCGAGGCGCGCAGCAGCATCGCGGGTCTGCCACTGGGAGCGGTCTCGAGCAGGCTCAGTGTCAGCAGGAGCAACGGCAGTGCCAGACACGTAATCGAACAGGGAAACACCGTCCTTGGCATCAGTCAGAAGGAACAGTTGCAGGTCGTCAAGCCAGGTGGTAAACTCTACTGGGCGACCGTCAGGATCGAACGCGAGCCCGTTGAGAGTCGCCATGCGTGCAGCGTAGGCAAGTCTAGTGCGCAGGCGGCAAGGCAAAAGGCAAGCAAGGAGAGACTGCGTGCAAGGTTCAATAGAGGGGCAAGGACCGAGAAATACAAGCAAGCAAGGGCAATTGGTAGGCAAAGGTGCACCACCAATGGTTGGCTCGAATCATTTATACTGCATGCTATGCTACAGGCAGTTTCTATATTTTACACAAAAGAGGAGCCAAACAACGAGGATGCGTAGTTGATTTATCTGGTGACAACAGTGACCAGGAATCAGAGTGCGGAGTTGGAGGAATTGGTAATGAGTGGCAGTCAGGAGGACCACCAAAATGACAGAGCGGAGGTGGTGGAAGCCATAAGAAACATGGGAAAAACAAATTACGAAGAGGATGTCGAGAGATCTTACATTTTTGTCACCCCCCTATAACTTCAATTTGCAATAGACTCCCTCTAATCATACCATATTCGGAAGAACAGTCTGACAGGTAGATGCTAGGGATGATGTAGGGATGATGAACACAACATCAAATGGGATTTGTTACGCACGATGAATTACAAGATAAGTCATCATGTGCGACCAGAACCAAAGGAGCTGTACTCTATTCCTTGGAGTCCTGTGCTGGTAGAATCGGCATCACTTGGAGCTAGACTCAATCTCTTGAAGTCCATGCTCCTAATCGCTCGCAGCTCCTCAGCTAAGTCACTGGGAAAAGATGTCCCACCGCTCATCTCCTGTGCCGATTTTTGAGGCGCCTCAGAAATTTCTTCATCACTTGGAGGTACACTCAATCTCTTGGAGTCCATACTCCTAATCAATCGCAGCTGCTCAGCCAAGTCACTGGGAAAAGACGTCCCGGTGCTCATCTCCTCTGCTTGCTCATCCACCTTGATCGCTGCACTGAGCTCCTCCTTCCCCACCACCTCGTGCCTGATTCCCTGCAGCTCGTTGGCAACGTCTGCCATGCTGGGCCGGCTTGCAGTGCGCTGCACAGTGCAGCGCAGAGCCAGCTGGGCCAGGCGCAGTGCAACATCATCTGGGGCGTCCATGCCGAGATCCTTGAGGAAGGGACAGGTGTCTGAGGAGATGCATGCTTTCACCTGATTGGTGGACATGGGCATGCACGCTGTCACCTGATTCGTGGATATGGGCATGCACTCTCCCGGATTGTCGGGGGAAATGCAGTCTTGCGCCTGGAGATTGAACAGCAAGGGGAACAACACATACACGCAAAGTCGGCTTGTTAGGCAAAAAGAGGGTGCACCACGTGCTGCATGTTGACTTTTGAGTCGACTCAAAAGAGGGTGCACCACGTGCTGCATGTTGACTTTTGAGTCGACTCAAAAGAGGATTCACCACGTGCTGCATGTTGACTTTTGAGTCGACTCAAAAGAGGATTCACCACGTGCTGCATGTTGACTTTTGAGTCGACTCAAAAGAGGATTCACCACGTGCTGCATGACACCGCATCATCTGAGGCGCCCGTGCTGTGCTGAGTAAAGGCACGCCTCCACCTGACGGATGGAACAAGGTGGGGAGGGTAAGAGGCCAAAAGTTATCCAGACGGCAGGGCAAGAGGCCGAGGGGGGGGGTGGGGTGTCAGTGCATTGATCCGCCTGAAGAACGTAATTGAGCGTTAAGTTGAGGGTGAGGCTTCGTGGGTGCAAGAAGCATGCTGAGGTGGTTTGAAAAGGGTCGGGTAGTCGGCGGAAGGAGGTCGCTCACAAAAAGGGAAAACAATAAGGCGAGGATTAGTTACAGGAGGAATACAGTAAGGGGCAAGAGATACAGCCGATTTGGGACTGGAAGAACGTCACACTGTGTGCCTGGGGAGCTATGCGGGCTATTTTTGGTGAGTCAGTTGCACCATGGCACATTGGCATCTCACGTGCACGCTACAAAGCAAAAAAAACTACGCATCAGAGGGTGTGTACGACAATTAAACATCAGGCCTCACACACCGTGACAAAAAATCAGCAACGGCTCCGCATCCAAGTGTGCTGACCATGGGGGTGTGCTGACCATGGGGGTGTGCTGACCATGGGACTACGTGGGGCTATGTGGGAGAGTAGCAGCTCCGCTCCTGCCACCACCTGCAGAGTCCGCTGACTATGTAGTCAGCTGATTGGCTTTTGAGTTGACTGATGTGCTGTGCTGCTTACAAAGGAGCTGACTCTCCCAGTGACCAAATTTTACCCTATACAGGACAGGAGCACTTACCACTTGCAGGATCAATTCACATGCATGTTACAAAGGAGCAACTCTCACCCATCTCAGAAGGTGACCTCGAGTCACCTGAATGTGGCATGCATGCTAAAAAGGGGTAGTTCTTCTCACCCATTGCAGGATGTGATTGCTCTTCCCACCGTCTGTAGATCGTGGGCTGCGGCCGGTGAGCACCACAAGCATGAGCACACCGAAGCTGCACCAAAAGAAAGGGGGGTGGGGAGGGGTTGGGGGGGTCGAGAGCATCAGGGGTGGTGTTGTGCACTGTTCAGTGTCTGTATAGGGGGTGGCTGCGGCCAGTGAGCACCATAAGCATGAGCACACCAAAGCTGCACTGGCAGAAAGGGGAGTGAGTGGGTTTGGGGGGATTCAAAGCATCAGGGGTGGTAATTTGCATTCTTTAGTGTTTATTATCCGTTTAGGGTGGCTGCAGCTGGCGAGCACCACACGCATGAGCAGAGGGGGAGGGTTTGACAGAACCAGTGCGGGTGTAATGCACTTTGCATCCCATGATCTGTATAATGTGGGCGGCTGCAGCTAGGAGGACAAGTACAAGCACGTCAAAGTGGCAGAAAGGTGGTTGACTGTAGGTAAAAGTATATTACAGCACTATACCCAAGCAAGCTAGGATACATGCAGGACACAGGAAGAACAGTGTGGTGCCTTACTCGTGTAGACTCAAAAAAGTCATGCCGCCCACTCAGAATCCAGGTCGTCATTCATAAATTTGATGACAAAACGAGCTCACCTGTACACATCGGTGGCAGTGGTTGTATCGTAAGGTCGCTTATACAAAGCTCACCTATAGACATTGGTGGCAGTGGTGGCCTTGGACGTGCGTGAGTAGATGGGATCCACATAGCCCGGTGTTCCCATCACCCGAGTCGTGCCTACAGTGGTGCCCTCTCCCAACCTCAACTGTCCAAAGTCAGCAACCTTGGCCTGCCGGATGATGGTATAACAGTAGAAAGAACAGGGGCAACAAGTATCAAGGTTGTTGCTTGCTTTCATGTGATGACCGCTGAAGGTACACTACATTGACTAGGACATGGTTATTGCGATCAGCTAGATATTGCTGAAGATAAGCTAAGTGGGCAAGGAATCTGAGATTTTGGTCAGAGGATTTTTGCGTGATTTAAATGAAATGGATTTAGACATGGTTATTGCGTTTTTTTTTTTTTTTTTTTTTTAAGCCAAGTTCTGCTCCTCACAACTCGTTATGACCATTGACTCTTTCCTTTAAGATCTCTTTGTTCTGTTACAGTGCACATATGCTCTTTCTTTTTCTTTTTCGTTCTCTCTTTTTTCTTTGTTTGCACCTTGTAGTAAAGCACATCTTGCTTGCCTGCATGTTTTCCCCGAGGAGGATGTTGGCGGGTTTGATGTCGCGATGCACAAGGCCAAAGCTGTGGAGGTACTCAAAGCCACGTGCCGCACCAATGAGGATGTCCAGCCGCTGCTGGAAGGTGAGAGAAAACTCCTCTGCATAGATGCTCACAAGAAGAGAATGACAGGACACGAGGGAGGCAAACGAGGGTTGCAACATGGCAGATGCAACATGAATGAGCCACAGAGCATGAGTCACACAGGCATGAGTGATCGAACAAGGGTGACATGACACAATGAGTGACACAACATATGTCATATGGTCGTCATCACAAATTGACGGAAAACTGTTGAATCTGGGTTCCAAACGAAGACCTGGAACGCACCATTCTTAAGATAGTGGCCAAGGTCGCCGTTTGGAACAAACTCGTAGATCAAGATCTGCTCTGGCCGTGTCCTCATGTCCCCTCCAACAGCAAACCCGAGCAGCCGCACGATGTTGGGATGGTTCTTGTCGGCCATTTGCTGGACCTGCGAGGAAAAACAGGGGCAGGAACAAGATGGATCCAAATTGGATAATCCAATGCGAGACAATTTTCAATTGAGTTGTCACACAAAGCAGGGAGGGGCATCCCATGGCAGGGAGGGGCATCCCATGGCAGGGAGGGGCATCCCATGGCAGGGAGGGGCATCCCATGGCAGGGAGGGAATGGCATCCCATGGCGGGGAGGGAATGGCATCCCATGGCAGGGAGGGAATGGCATCCCATGGCAGGGATGGAATGGCATCCCCTGGCAGGGAGGGAATGGCATCCTGTGGCAGGGAGGGAATGGCATCCCATGGCAGGGAGGGAGTGGCATCCCGTGACAGGGAGGGAATGGCATCCCATGGCAGGGAGGGAATGGCATTCCATGGCAGGGAGGGAATGGCATCCCATGGCAGGGAGGGAATGGCATCCCATGGCAGGGAGGGAATGGCATCCCATGGCGGGGAGGGAATGGCATTCCATGGCAGGGAGGGAATGGCATCCCATGGCAGGGAGGGAATGGCATCCCATGGCAGGGACGGAATGGCATCACATGGCAGGGAGGGAATGGCATCCCATGGCAGGGAGGGAATGTCATCCCATGGCAGGGAGGGAATGGCATCCCATGGCGGACAGAATGTCGAGAAACTTACCCGAAGTGTAAGGAACTTCAGAGCTATTAAACAGAATTCGTAAGCCACCATAACAGCGCGGCTCAGCTCACCTCTCGAAGGAAATCCACATGAATCACTTTGCCTCGCTTGACAGCCCACAGGGTGGCACTGTCGTGTGGACACACGCCCTTGTACACGTCATCAAAGGCACCCGCGCCAAGCTCGTTGTCAGGGGACCAGTTCTTGGTGGCTTTAACGACTTCCGATAGAGAGTACTCCGTGCACTGGGCACCTGTCATGCTGGCAGCCCGGCCTGTAAAGGTATGGTCGGAAGGGGTGAGGAATGGTAGTGTGGGGTGCAAGGCAGTGAGCTGGTTAGTAGAGGACGAGGTTTTGGTGGCTTTCAGGGCTTCTTTTAGAGAGTAATCCGTGCATTAAGCTCCCGACATGCTGCGAGCTCGGCCTGTGTTAGTGGGGCAAAGCACACGGGGAGAGGGGTGAAAGAGAAGTGAAGATTTTGCCATACTTGGTGTTAATATTTCAAGGATGGAAGTGAGTGGACGGGACAAAAGAAAGGAAGGTGAGAGACGTTGTCAAAAAAAATCCTCCTGCTCCTCACAACAACCCTGTCCCTTCCCTCCACACCCTATTGTGCCATGAGCATCAGTCAATATCCTTGGTAACCTAACGTGGGCCTGTCTGTGCTGAGTACACCTGCAAGTTCCTGTCAACGTAGACGATCTACGTGACCTATGTAGTGAACGATGTATGACTCACCCTAAGGGTCGGGTTCAAGGGAGCGGTGTATGGAAGCGGCGAAACAGAAGTAGAAAGCAGAAAATTCCTATCCTATACCTATTTTTTTCGCTCCTGTGTGAGGTTTCCGGCTTAGAATGTAGGGTTGAAGATTAAAAGCTCAAGAATACTGTAATTGCTGCACGTGCTGCTCGGTTCTTGTGACCTCTCCACCACCACAGCAGCACGCCAATGCCAATGATCAGCAGCATCACAGCAGCCACAGCAATGCCGGCAATGGCTCCCACAGAGAGACCGCCTCCCGACTGGGAGGGAGGCGCTTCGGGTGAGCTGGGGGTTGCTGAGGAGGAGGAGGACGGGGCTGCTGTAGTGAGTGCTGTGGAGGAGTTTGGGGCTGTTATGAAAAAGCCTCTGAAGGAGGAGGGGGGCATTGTGGAGGGTGCTGCGGAGGAGGAGGAAGGAGGCGTTGTGGGGGATGCTTGAGAAAGGGAGCGGGATGCTGGATGTGTGGATGGGGGGCCTGTAGGAGGGGAGGGGGGCGCAGTAGTGCATGAGGAGTAGGGGGAGTGGAGACGGAAATAGCATGGGTCAGAATCAAAACGTTTTATCTATATGTTTCAAGATGTTCCCCACGCCTTCTGACAGTCCAGCAGGAATTGCACTGGCGACAGGAAGGGCAGGGAGTCGAAGAGAAGAGGGAACGCCGGTGGGGTGTGCAAGAGAGGAGGGAAGGGCAGGGAGTGGAAGAGCAGAGGGAAGCGCGCAGAAGCGGACGGAAGGTTTAGGGCTTATGTCGCATACGAGAGGACGGAAGGGGAGGGCGTGGAGGGAGGGCAGGCAGGAAGTGGAAAAGAGGAGGAACGGCAGGTTGACGAGTGGGGACTCATGTCCAGCCTCATCTCTTGCAACATTCTCTCGCTCTCACCCGCTCATCTCCTCTCACCACAATGCCTCTCTCTCACCCTCTCTCACGACTTCAATCTCTCACCACATCATCCCTCCCTTCACCATCCCCTTTCTCTCACAATTCTCTCTTACCACATTCCTTCTCTTGCCACATCCCGTCGTTACTATACCTAAACCTCCTCCCTTCTTTTTTGGTAGAATGTCCGTCGTTACTTTACCTAAACCTTCTCCCCTCTTTTGTAAGTCTCGTACGTGGCTTTTCCTAATTTGTACAGGTTAGGATCGTCTTGGCGATGGATTCAAGAGGAATGCCGTCGCCACGCCTTCAGCACCGCCGCGTGCCACGTCAGAAGGAGCACCGAGAGAAGGCTGCTGCGGGCCTCACTCTTCGATGTACCGAGAGAGCAGTATCTAAATACTACTTAAAGTTAAAAGTAGCTCGTATATGATCGTACGTCATGGGAATGATCAGAGGGGGCACGCACCCTGTGACTTGGCGAGTGGCATGCGGCATTCGACACGTGAGACCGCGTGACACGTCAGCAGCAGCAGCGCGCCGAGCTGAAGGGCTGCTGCTGGCTTCATCATGCCACGACAGTTGCGGCAGTCGCATAGGTCCTCCATAGAAACTTCTATCTGATATATCTGAAAATAGGAACGCGTTTCAAACGGGGATTAGGAGACCAAACAATACATTGCAAAGAGCAGGAATGGCAAAAATCTAAAACTAATCTGGCGCGGATGAGGCGTTGGCGTTTCGCCCTGCTAGAGCGAGGGCATGGGTGAGGGGGGGGGGGGGGGGGGGGGGGGGGTCCGTGAGAAGATTTGAACAAGAATGAATGAACTATGAAATGAAGTGAGTACAAATATGAAACCCTAATTGGTTGTACCCCCTATGGGATACCCCACTATAGCCTACACAACAGCATAAGCTATAATGTTCTGACACACCCCCATAGGCAAAGTGGGGGAGAACAAGGGGTCACAAGACCAGTCAAGCAAAGTAAAGCAAAGCAAGCTCAGGGTGGATCACAAAGTCACCACACAGTCCGAGCACAGGGTCAAGGCCACACGGCCAGTTCACATGCAAGAGTACACACATATATATAAAGCTAGACAAGCAAGAGCAGGTATATATATATGTGAGAGTACAGGCAAGGTCAAGAGGAGAGCAAGTGAGGCAAGACGGGCACAAGACCCAGCTGAGTGCAGAAGCGCTGATGATCACAAGGCGGAAGTGCCTTGGTGAAGACATCAGCAGTGTTGGCCTCAGAGGCCACGTACGCAAGCCGCAACTGACCACGTACAGGACTGGAGGAGAACGAGGCGGCTCTCCAAGGTCGGTCAGCAGGTAGGTGAGCCAGCGAAGCTCCTGTGCAGCCATGGCCCCGGCGTAGATCTCAGCCTCACAACTCGAGCCAAGAACAGAAGACGAGCGAGTAGCCCGCCACGAAACAGAGCCGGAACCAAGGCTGAAGGTGTAACCCTGTGACGACCGCTGCGTAGCCTGGTCGTCAGCCCAAGAAGCGTCCGCGTGCCCAGTGAGGACCACTGGACTCCGCCCTCCAAGCACTAGCCCCATGCCCGACGTACTGCACAAGTAGCGCAACACCCTCTTCGCTGCAGCCATGTGCTCTGGTCTGTGTCTCCCAGGAGCAACATAGCGTGCCAGAATGCTAAGAGGGTATGCAAGGTCAGGTCGTGTGCAGGTCATCAGGTACATGAGGCAGCCAACAAGCTCTGGGTACGGGCCACTCGACTCTACGGACTCATCCGAAGGCAGAGCTGAGAGCGAGTGGCGAGTAGACAGAGGAGTGGCCTGAGGCGAGGAGTACGTGAAGCCGAAGCGCTGAAGGACCTGCTGCACCATGTGTGACTGAGTCAGGGTAATGGTGCGGCGTGCTCTGTCCCGGGTGATCTGCAAGCCAAGGTAGCTGCGCAGTTCACCTAGGTCTGTGCACGTGTGTCTCTTCTGCAGCTCGGACTTCACGTAGGCGAGTCCAGCAGTGTCAGCTGTGGCAAAGACCAAGTCGTCGACGTACACGAGGATGTAGAACGGCGGCAGAGAGGTGTCGGTGCGTAGAAACAGCGACGGGTCGGCAGTAGAAGGAGCAAACCCAAGAGCCGCAAGTGTAGTCCTCAGTGTGTCGTGCCACTCACGTGGCGCCTGGCGGAGACCGTAGACTGGACGCCGGAGACTCCACTGGGTACCAGAAGGGAAAGACCCAGTGAAGCCAGGTGGGCGACGCAGCCAGATCTCCTCGTGCAGGCTGCCCTGCAAGAAAGCTGTGCTGAAGTCAAGAGAGTGCAGCTCGTAGTCACGGTGAGCAGCAACGTGCAGCAGTACCCGAAGAGTGGTCATCTTCGGGGTGGGGGAGAAGGTCTGAAAGTAGTCAACTCCCTGCCGCTGACTGAAGCCACGAGCCACGTAACGCGCCTTGAAGACAGGCGGAGAACCCGGCGGCCGCTTCACCCTGAAGATCCACATGCCACTGACGATGTTCGCCCCAGGAGGGGGGACAGCGTCAACGTAGGTGCCTGTGGACTTCCAGGAAGCCATCTCTGCATCCATAGCTGCCTGCCACTGAGAGGAGTAGGGACCCTCTATCGCCTCCGCGTAAGAGCGCGGAGTCGGGATGTCAAGTGCATCCGGGTCTCCCTCAGGGGTAAGCAGTACGGACACGAGATGAGGTGAGGCAGCTGCCAGACACTGGAACTCCTCCTGCCTGTCCTCAAGGACGTCCGTGCCAAGGGCACACTCACCCCCGACGGACGGAGGACAGACAGACTCAGACTCGGCGACAAGACTAGCAGCGTAGTCTAAGCGACAGCGAGCAGCAAAGTCGACGAGCTCAGTAACTAGAGCAGACGCAGCAGTAGACTCGAAAGAAGGGTCAGTGACAACAGTAGCAAGGAGACGCGTGACAGTAGGACTGGCAGCACGAAGAGAGTCCGACTCCGGGTCGGCAAGAGCAGGAAGAGAGGACTCAGGAGGAGAAGGCAAAGGGGCACGCAGAGGAGCAGTGGACGGACGCAGAGACATCCGGTGCGTGCCAGGGACAGGAGGAGGACGCTGACGCGAACCGCGACCACTAGTGCGAGCAGCACGGACAGGCGACGTAGGGCGAGACGCAGGCTCACGACGCTCAGCCAGACCTCCAGTAGGACCAGTGTAGGGAGAAGGAGCAGGCAAAGGGGAGGTAGGCTGCAACTGTAGCTGGGACGAGACAGGCTGTGGACACTCTAAGGGAGGAGGAGGACCAGTAGAAGGTGGAAGACCAAGAACCTGCTGCAGGAGTGGCACGAAGTACTGTCGAGGCCGCGCGGCGACGCTAGAAGCAGCAGGGACAGCACCAGAACCCTCAGCAGGAGCACCCGCTCCAGCAGCACCACCAGTAGCTCCAGAACCTCCAGCAGCACCAGGAGCA